CATTAGAAGAGAAAGCAGTAGACTTTGTCCCTGATGGTAAAAGTACTTAGACAAAGAAGATTTAATTCTTAATGTAATCTCTTCCTATTCCTCTTTGAACTATCCAAGGTATATAAACCACAATAGATTTAACAGGGAAAGGTTTGGTACAGACAAAGAACACATTATTAAAACACAGAGAGGAAAAATGTACCATAAAAACATTAGCTAAATATAGATTTGATAATCTGCTTTGCTTACAATAGCCCAGGAGGCAATTCTAGGATCCTGCACTGCTGAAGCAAAAGGAAGTAGCAATTATAAGACTAGAATAAGGTGCTGTGTTCTCTTCTGAAAAGCATCACATGGGATTTTTTATAATGGACACAGTCTGCATTTTGATCTCAGAATGGAATAGAAGTTCCTTGATAAAACTTTGTTCAAGTACAGAAAGTTTGACTTAAATAAAAACTACAGGAAAACTTGGGATATGTTGACAGTTCAGATACTTTATCAGATACTGATATTGATACTTAGAATCCGGACTTTGCAAATTACCTCTTTAGCAAATTACCTCTTTAGCAAATGTTTAGCAACACTTGATTCAAGTTCTGAAAATAAATATTCCAGACTTGTATTTTAAAGTTTTTAAATACTGTGGTAGACCTGATACCTCACATACTTCTTTACTGTATTCATTTACAAATTCCTCCTGTGATATATATATATTTAATCCAGACTGCACTCATACCAATTGTCTGCAGAAGGAAAGAAAACTAAGGGAAATAACTTTTAAACTACACAAGATGAAATATCTGACCTCAAAGCGTCATGCAGCATTGATATACCATATGGGACACCATGTAGCAGCCACTAAAGAACCTGGCATACCTTCTACATCAGAGATGTCATAATGCTCAATCCCCTAATATACTAAAAAAAATCCCAAATTCAAAAATAGCTGGTGGAAGTTGGCCTTTCTTTTGAAGCAGGTAAAATGTGGATTTATTTACTGATAAACTGATGATTCTATCCCTCACTGGTTTTAGAAATCTCACTGGTTTTAGAAATACTACCGCATAAAAAAAAAAAAAAAATCTCAGTTACTCCAGTGTCATGAGTCTTAGTCCTGACTCTACCATAATTGAAACAGATAATTTGGAGTGATACAGGGACACCAGAAAATGCTGTGGGACAATAGGTTTGGACTGTACTTTTTCTTCAGAAAAAAAATATTGAGAAAATGGCTAATTAAGAGCAAGTCGGCAGCTCTAGAGGCTCAGAGTAGTTGCAGCAGAACTAAATTAACACAAAGTTGTCCTTAACAACATGCAGAATCATTCACWCTTTATTGACCCAGGAGAGGAGAGCTGTCTACTGAATTTCTAACAGGACTTCCTATATAGTACCTACCCTTGGATTTCTCTCCTCCAAGTACTGATCTTCTCCAAGYATTTCCTGCCTGTAGAGTCTAGTATGATCACAGTATGAATTGCTTTGGCTGAACACAATTACGACAAAGTCATAATTTGAAAACTTTCRCCCACTTTGAAAACCAATCACTATGAAAACCAAGCTCACACTTTAAACTCTAGTAGTAGGAAGTCTAAGCAGCAGAAAAGCAAATTACAAAACTCCACTTCCCTAAACAAAGCAAAATTTTTTTCAAGGTTATAAAATAGGTATTGCTTTAATAAAAATAAAAGTTTTTGATCAAAACGACAGCAAATACTCCTCTTCCTGGAAAATTCTTCCTATCTACAAAATGGGAGCAGGCCCTACATATTACGTATCTTTTATACTTATTATCTGTTGAATGCTAAAAATAACAGTGCCTTTAGGAATTGTACACTACCTAGTTTGTGAAAGATGACGTGAGGAACTTCTGCTCTGCACACTTTATTTTTATATTGCTTAACACTGTTGTTATTCCTGAGCTTGATTTATGGGTACCCAGAGGTACTCCTAACCTGTTTGATGTTATTTCTACTGGAAACAGTTGACAAAAGCAGATCTCCCCTTGAGGATTGCACAGTTTCAGTATTTGTTTCAAGTTTCAGGCATTTGCTCAACCTATTAAGAGCTTCTTCAAAGACATAAAATAGCAACATATCATCTTGAATACTATAGAAAAAATGACTACATAAAGAATGCCTTACGCACACTTGAAAATAAAAACTGGCAGTGAACTTAAACATTACTTCCTCTTTGTATATGTTCTGCATACCACAGACAACAACTACTTTAAATGAGATTTATTTTTAACGAGCTCTGCAAACTTTGTTAAAATCACACAGAGACTTGGCCAAAAAAAAACGAAGTTAACTCTGCTCTACCAGTGGTAGACTAGCTGTCCATAATAAAAGAATCTTAATAACCAGAGAAATGGTGTATATGTACATGTACATGTAAAGAGTCACCCCCTTTTTTTTTTTCTGTATTTTCAGTAAAAAGAAAGAAAAATCTAGAACAGACTTTTTTAATTTTAGGGGTTTTTGTTTGTTTGTTTTTCTGTAGTAAAGGTAATATGGCACTTTTCTCTCTCTTGGCCACCTCAGTGCTAKAGAATGCTGAAAATAAGTTTCACTAACAGATGGCTCTACTCRGTATTTTTCAGCACAGAGAAATATTAAGAAAGCGTCACCAGCACAGATACTCAGAGYCACCTAAATGTTTAATCAAGGCAAAAGGCTAGAAATATCTTTATAATTATTTTGAGTTTTATCAAAACTTTCCAAGAATATTTTGTTGGGGAAAAAATGAGGAAACTATGAAAGCTGTGCTCAGTTTTTTAAAAGCTCAAAGATTTATGATGACCTTGGACCAACACTGATAACTGATTCTATATCCGTATCCTTAGCCCTTTGCAAAATATGTCTAGCTTTGACTATGCCTTTTAGACTCCATAGACTCTTGACCATTCTTSCAATTGAAAAATATATTTATATATATTTTGCCACCCTAATTTAAAAATTATTTAAGCACAAAGATATTTGAAATTACTTTGACAAGTCACAATGTAGCCCATATAAAAATAATGTGGACACCTACAGCTAATAAGCATTTAAAAAAAGAAGTGTGTGAACGCATGAATAAGAACAACTGTATGGAAGCCATAGTGGGCATAACAACTTAATGATTAATACCAGAGTATCCTAGTTCYTATGCCCTGTGATAAGGTGACCACATTATGGATGAACAAGGAAGTGTGAGATATTCCTAGTTTTGAAAACTTGAATGTGCCAGGCAATTTAAAGAGAAGGCAGGAAGTGAGCCTGTATCTGAGTAACTTCAGTGAGTATGTTATTCCTATCATGGCTAATTCCCAGCATCTTATGAGCTCYTCTAAGTCCTACCCTGGTGCTTACAACATTTTGTTAGAACTCTCATAAATTTTCAGATGCAGTTTATGTTCTGAGCTAAAAGTCTGCCAAAGCTTAGGCCTCTAATAGTCAACGAATGCCTTAATTTAAATAAATGAGAACTGTCTTGATTTTGAAAGATGCCTCTAAATGGTCCTAACAGCCTTTACTCTTAAAGTTTAGGAAGCCAATATTTAGTCCTGGGAACTACAATTCAGGTAAGCAAATCCTGCCTGTAAATGAAGCTTTATTTCTTTCTTTCCTTTGGGATTTTGCCACAAAAAAAAAGGAAAGAAATTACTGCTTTAAGAGTACAGGTGAATAGTTTGAGACTGAATATATCAGTTCAGGAAAATGTCAACATATCCATTTCAAATCTGATTGAAAGAATTATAACCAGATCCCAAGCCTAAGCAAATAGAGTTATGGCTGATATTCTTTACTCTTTTTTATGGGAAAAGGAGAAAGCTGGGCTCGAAATGGAAAATTCACATTACTCTTAACTACAGAGAGGTTAGTATAACTGCCTAGTAGACCACTGGGACAATCTATCAAAGTAATTTAGTACAGCCTGCAAGGTAGATTTAGAAAGAGACACACACAACAACTTTATATATCCTGAGTATATGTGAAATGAGAGACACCATATTACTCTTTCACTGCACAATTGGCCAAATACTGTCAGCAAATAGTCAGCTCCTGTCAATGAAACAGTATGCAAGCACTACTTARAACAATATACTAGGCCTATATACTTTAATATACTTAAAACAATGCTAGGCCTAAGGTAGCATCAGATAATATTTGCAACAGGAATTTTACTTCTAGTAAATTCTTATAAAATTCCTGCTTTTCTTCCTAAAGAACAGCTTCCCAACAGCTTCTTTCACAGTTCTTGACCTTCTGTAAGAGTACTGCCTAAATATTTTTTTCTAAATTATTTTTGTTCCATGCAAAATGCAGAACCACTTAATAGATACATACTTAAATGGAATAATAYGATGTTATTATTTTTGAGGTTTTACCTCATTTTCCTCTCCTAATCAGTAGATGAATGTATGTCAGATCTTCACAATGATGGTAGCTGTCATTCTGAGGCAACTGGCTTTTAATCTATTCATTTGCAAGTAATGGTATTCTAAAATGTATGGGCCCAGATAACATGCAGTAAAATGGATTACAGAATTTAAAATTAAAATCAGCAAGAATATAAGAACAGATGCATCATAAAGTAATTCTGTTCAGATTTATAAAATAAATGCTAAAGTTCTTTTCCACAAGAATATATTGTTCCCTTCAAAATCTTGTATTAATTCATTGGTTCTGAAATGCAGATTAAAGGCACAGACCTATGCGTTTATGTCACTAACTCGAGCACTTCCATTTGTATTTAGAGTTTAAGTAGTCAGATTTGCATGTACATTGCAACCAAGGTACAAGAATGAAAGCATTCTACACCAGGAAAAAAACAAACAAACAAACAAAAAACAATATAAGAATATAACAATATAATCCATTTTTTTTTTCCAGGATAATATTGGGGAAAAAAAAAAAGAAATAATAATAATATAAAGAGGTTTAAAAAATAAATCTGGTAGAGGAGAAAAGTGCTTGGAAACACTGAGAAAATGCATCTCTGACGCATTTYCTTGTACTCACCTAATGTCTGTGCATGTGACGCATGTGATATAGCGACTGTTTGTTGTAATGAGGTTCAAAGCCACAGATGTCTCACTGGCAGAGGTTGGGTGCGCTCCACATTTAAAGTAAAATTCCTAAAATATTGAAGGAGAGATAAAGAGAAGATTATACAGCTGCAGCTCACACTCATTACCTTAGTCTAACTAGCATTTGAAACTAGTAAGAAACTGCCACTGCCAACAGAAAAGAAGGACAGTTGTCAGGAAAGATTTAGAAAAAATCCCTTGCAAAAATGCGTGGTRAGGCACATATTTTGTTCAGTATTTTTTCTAACGAAGGAAATATTTACTTGAGTACCAGATTGATATCAGTGTGATACAATAGTGTAATTGGGCTGATATATGGTGTGAATTTCTGGATTCTTAGTCGAGTGATATTCTTTCCCATATCTAATAAAAAGTAGAATACTAAGCATTGTGTCAATGCGTTAGTACTTTCATAGTATTTGCTCCATSAGATACGTATTACATTTGTAGTTCTATATTACACTGCATTTGAGTTAACTTCCTTTAGACCATATTGCTCTATGAGGACGCTTACAGTGCTTTCATGAGCATAATGCTGACACAACTGTGGGCTTTGTTCTCCTTTGCGTTGCTCCCTGTGGAAAGCTTTGTTTATCACACTGAGCTTTCATAAGATTTTCTTATGAGAGATTGATTTAAGTGTCAAACCTCTGTGTGCATATGTAAATAAAAGCTGATTGAAGAAATTTGCTTTGCAATAGGCAACAGTTTGCAGTATTTATTCCTCTGAAAGCTGTTCTCCCCAAAGTTTCAAATTTGGTTTGTAATAGAAAAATTAAAAATGGTATAAATAAGGAAGGAATGGGAAAGGTATGGGTACAAAAGCACCAGAAGTGAGAAGGCCTGAAAGAGTGATGGATGTTGATAGCACCTGGACCACGGAAGATTCTCGAGACATTCATGTTGGGTAAACAGTTTTCCTAAAGCAAAGGACAAATTGCAGCTGGAGAAAGAGCCCCAAGGTCAGTAGAGAACAGCACATGCTCAGTGTAATCCAGTGACTCACACAGGTCATAGGGATAGGACGAAGCGGTGAGGGGCAAATCATTGTCAACTTAAATGGTGCAAAAGGCTTATTCAGAAATCAGCAACTGAGAAGCTGTCAAAAAAGAAAGTCTTGATGCCTGGTGTTTCCTWATAATCCTTGATACCTAAAATATGCAGTTAGATGATCTGGACACGTCTTGGTGCTGGATAGTATGTCAACAGAAGAGAAAGAGTGCAACCAAATGAAATTAGTTTTGCTTAATATAAAAATCATCTTTCCCTCCTATCCAGTCTTGCACTGATATTTGCTACAATATTGTGCATAATCAGTCCAGGAAAAACTCTTATTTTCTCACTGCCTTGAACCTTGCAGTAGAGTGCCTCTAGGTCTGAGGAACAGAATTGTCCATTCCTGTTTTCTGTCACATATAATCTTTTAGATGGATTATATATTCTTATATTGAGTAAATGCAGTAACATCAGGCAAATGCAGTAACATTCCTGTCATGGAGCCTGGTGACTTTTACACCAGAAGTTTAATAACACCTTGCTGCTAGATTAGTAAATTCTACTTCTCAGATCAGCTCTGACATGTTGACCATTAATATAATATTTAGACTCCACTAGGAGCTGAGTTGTCTGAACTACTTAATAGTAACATGTTAGGGCATCTACGGGGTAAGAAGATAGTTTATAAGACAATTTTACTTTAAAATTCAAATAACTGTTTGCAAAACTTTTTGAAATAATCACCCATACCTACGAATGTGTGGTCATATTTCTTATGACTAAATCATCCCTCTGTCCTGTTCCATAATGTCAGTTATTAGCACAAAACAATTAATTTTGCTTAAAGGCATTGCAGTTAGATTTCTAACRTTTTTGCCTCAGTGAGACCACAGTTTAACAGAACACTTAAATACCAATTCATTTTGAAGCATTTCACCAGTTCTGAATGGGTCAGGGGCGCTGTATATTCAACTGGAGTTCATAGAACAGGCACAATCCGTAACTCTAACCTATTTTCAACCTTTAAAAACATACCTATGAATCATTTTAATCTGTATTATTTGMTAGTGTGTTTTGGAGCTTGGCTTTTCTTAGGCACTTAATTTGATTCTACTTTTGTGTGAATGAAATGGTATCTGCATTCTATTTAAATGCAGAAGTCCTGAAAATGTTATCTTGCTTCAGTACACTTGTTGCAAACAACAAAGAATATTGACCATTCACTATTCCAGAACAAATAAACTGTGGACAAGGAAATATAAAATAGTTTTTATATTATTATTATTATTTTTGTAGAATAACCTACTCACTAGCATAAAGCATTCTTTGGGTCTTGAGCAATAAAAAAAGAAAGCTTTAAAACACTTGAAACAGTTTTAGTAGTTTAACTTTATTTTTTTGAGTGTCTCTTTCTTTGGCATGTGGGCTTTAATACTATTCTTATCCCCGTTTATTGCAGTGATATCTGTAACAGAGTATTCTGTTGCGAACAATCAGAAAGCATTCCTTCTTGGATGTAATTGCAAAATAAAATATATAATTTCTTAGTTCTACATTTTCTTGTAATTCTCTACCCTTTCYATTGGAAAATAGAGAAAGAAAATAATAGTATGTATGCCTTAAGAAGATACATACAGATATATTTCTTCATAAGTAATATGCATGAAGAGAAGGATAATGAACACCACATACAATTCATCCCTGCAGAGCACAGAGCTGACACTTTCAGGATGAAGTTTTGTACTGACAACACACAATGGAGAGAGACAGGACTAATATTCMTTAACCTTTCTATGATAAAGCAACAAGGCCCACCAAAAATACTAGAAAGGAACAAACATAAAACAGATATCTCCACCTGGAAAGCATAGCTCTCTGAGGTTTAAAAGTGGAACAGAAGAACAACGCTAGCAAATAGAGATTTAGTACTATTAAAAATTACCTAGAAAAACTGATCCTAATTTATTTTGATGAATCGCAATAATGTTTGTAATTATTTAGTCATAAATAGTGCTTTACTATTGCTGTATTTCTGAGACATCAATGCTGTGATGGGAGTTCATAGTGTGAGATTAGAATGGAAATGCTGAAAAGCAGAGCATAYTGGTGCTAGATAGTTCTGACATAGTGTGGACTATCTTCCCACATATTTTTATTATAGTAATAGATACTTTCATTGTTTGTAGTATTATAGAAGTCATGAACTTAATTGGTTTTCCAGTTGCAGCCAATCTATGCTGCCTATTTTTATACATTGCAAAAATAAGCTACAAAGATTTGCTTGTTATATAGGATACAGTTACAAGGCCATAATTTAAATAGCCAACTTGACACTTTTTTTTTTTTTTTTTTATCTCGACTAATGATGAAATACCTTCTCAGTAAGGTCACTTCTAATTATGGACAACTCCAAATGGCCAGAGGCACCTCTGCCAGTTTTGGACTAGGCTAGGAGAGGATTTCAGTCACTTTTTCCAGATTTAACAGGTCTCTCAATGATGCAAGCACAACTTCCTTATGCCAGGACATATAAGCAATTACAAAGAAAGATAATCCGCAATTCTCTATCACTACAAGCTGTTTCCCAAATGATTTCTGCAATGAAATTGCTGAGGATAAAATACAAGTGGAAAGATTACAGACACTCTTCACCACCCAATCTTGCCTGTCAGACATGCAGATATAGCTATTCTTTTATTTAGAATTACATCACTGTCCTTCATGTACTATATGATAGCCTGAGGTGAATGTACTGTATTCTTTAATTTAAACCATTGTGCAAAGTAAACTTTCAAATAGATGTAAGGATCCTGCATCCAGTTAATTTAGGGCTAATTCTCTACTATTGTCAGACGGCCACCGTCATGTTAGTAACGATTACTTCCTATGGTGAACACTAAAACAACTTTCTATTCTTAATTTAGACTATGCTATGTAATAACAAAATTACAAAAATTCAGAATTTTGACCTTATAATAACTAAAATTTACAGAACAAAGTGGAAAGGAATGGGGAAATATTCACWCAGTCTACATGATTATCTGCCCTTTTTTAAAATACCCCAGGATAGTAGGTCCATCCCATTTTCATACATGTTCCTCAGTCCAGTTTACAGAACTCAGAAAAAATAATTTTCTTTGCTAACATGTAACTGCATAGGCTGCACCTCTGCTGATATACAGATTATAAACACGAGAACATAGGTTCACAGTGATCAGGACAGTATCTGAGGGATTTGGGGGACTGTTGGTGCAGCAGAGTTTCTATGCACAACCCTCATCCCCGCTCCCGTGGAACCTTTTCCACTGATTCCAGCATATATATCACTTTATATCACGGATTCCAGCATATATCTTTTATATCACTTTATGTCACTGATTCCAGCATATATCTTTTTCCACTGGAAAAGATTCCAGTGGAATCTTTTGCTGGCTCTGCACTGACAGACTCCTGAGGACCCTTCAGCTTCCTGGATCCTGGAATTCTTTTCCCGGCATGCTTCCATTTCACCCTGACGCCTACCTCTACTTCTTACCCACAGTTGTGCAAGCTCATTAGAAATCCTAAGCGAGTTCCACATTTGCATTTCATGTTCTCATTTCTCAATAAACTGTGAATSAAGATGGGGGACCTCAGGCATTACSCACATAGATGTCAGGACTGACAGACAAAGCCATTTACTAAAATACACTACATCATTTTTAAAGTTATCAGCACTCATCAGTCTTCCTTCATCTGCATCACCATAATTATTCCTCTGAATGACRGAAATCTTCATATCACATAGTGACATACTCCCATAATGGGGTTTCATTTCCCTTTCCAGCTTAAAAACAAGCTATATAGTAGGTCTGCAGGCAGGCTGAAAGAAATCACCTCAGAGAGCTTTCAAATCAAGTATTTGTTGTGGGATAGAGAAAAAATTGATTCACTCTGAGCAGAGACAATTTAAGGCTCCTATACCCCAGAAGAATTCTAGATAGCGGCTTTCTAGAACATGTGATTAGCTATTTCTCCAGTGGAAAAAAAAAAAAAAACGTTAAAGGTCACTC